GCGAGTAGCTGGCACAAGGCTACAAAGGTGCCGGCGGCCTGGGTAACAGCGCACACCTACCCACCCAGATGTCAGATACTGCTGTTGCCCCGAGGGAAGGAGGGCCTGTGAGCAAAGCCCTCCCCTCCCGGGCCAGGCTGCCTCTCTGCTTGAACTGCGGGCAGCGCTCTGAGCGAGGAAAGGGGGTGGCTGGCTGCGCCAGCTCAGAGGCGGCTCCCCCGCCTCTCCGACCGCCCCCGGGATCATCGAAAGAGAAAGAGTAAAAACGCACCCCAAGGTACGGAGAGGGAAGGCATTTCATACTGCAGGAGGTCCGTGCACGTGCTCTGCAATATGGCAAACTCGGGGCGCCCACGCCCTCACCAGCCTGCCAGCGCCCCCTCACGCGACCCCAGAAGGCCCGGGCCCTCCTTCCCGAAGGGCTTTGCCGGCGAGCTCACGAGGGAGCCTCTGCTTTTATCATGTCACAAGGCGGCACACCGCAGCCTGTCCCACTGTATCTTGCAAGAAGCTCATATTCCAATGATGTTATTAAAAAGTGGCACCTTTTGCCACACTGCGAGAAAACCTTTGCAGTGGGGGCAAGGAGACTGCGATATGTTTTCCCCAAGGAGCTCACGCCAGCCGCAGCATTTGATGTATGGTGACATCTCCCCCACACCCTCACACACACACACACACACACACACTACAAACACTCCCAGACTGGGAGGAAGCAGGCCTCTGGGAACTCAGGCACAGTTGTTTTGGCAGCTGTTGTGGTTGGTGATGGGAACAGGAATAACAAAGGCCGCATTTCTCATGCTCCTCCCCCAGGTCGGCCCCAACATCTCCCTCTATATCCTTCTCCCTTCAGTTGAGTTCAGCAATGAGCCAGGTCACTGATAAAGAAACGGAGGCAGGCCTTGGCCAGTGTGGATCAGTCAGTTGGGTGTCATCCCATGTACTGAAAAGTTGCTGGTTCAGTTCCTGGTCAGGGCACATGCCCGGGTTGCAGGCTTGATCACCGATAGGGGGCATGCAGGAGGCAGCCGATCGATGTGTCTTGCTCTCACAGTGATATTTCTTTCTCTCTCTCCCTGTCTCCCTTAATCAATAAAAAAATCTTTGAAAAGAAACTGAGGCAGAGCTTTTACCTCAGTGTTGTCTGGAGCAGGGGGTGGGTCTCACCTGGGGTGATCCTGTCCCCAGGAAACACTGGGCAATGTCAGGGACATCTGTGGTTGTCATGACTGGCATCGAGTAGGTGGGCATCAGGGATGTTGCCCAGTATCCCACAATGCCCAGGATGCCCCCAATGACCCACCCTGATGTCCACATAGCTGGGGGGGACCCTGCTCTGAAACTGTGTTTTAACCACAAACTTGGCATCTGCTGCATGTGGGGCCATGACCCTGGCAACAGTACCCTCCTCCCCCACACTTCCCTTCCCTCAGGGACGCCTGTGAACCGGATCCCCATCATGGCCAAGCAGGTGCTTGACCTGTTCATGCTGTATGTGCTGGTAACGGAGAAGGGCGGCCTGGTGGAGGTCATCAATAAGAAGCTGTGGCGTGAGATCACCAAGGGCCTCAACCTGCCTACGTCTATTACCAGTGCTGCCTTCACCCTGCGGACCCAGTGAGTGCTGTGAATGCAAAGGGCCTGGGACAGGAAGGACCACAGAGGCACTGGGCCACATGAGGAGTCTGAATCCTGAGAACCTTGGGGTGGGGCTTTAAGGAAGGTTCTGGCTCTGCGGTTAGTGGGATTCAGTATTAAAAGATTAATAGGAAGTAGTCATGGGGACAAGTATTGAGACTGGGAACAGCATAAGCAAAAACCTGGCTCTGAGCATTGCCCAGTGATTCTCTGGCAGTGATGTGTGATGGAAGTGGGGAGGTGGTGCCACAGTAGGATTTGCTTTATGCCAAGGGCAGCAGGGAGTCATGGGAGGTGTCCCAGGTGCCACCCTGTCCCTTCTCCCCTTCCCACAGGTACATGAAGTACCTGTACCCCTACGAGTGTGAGAAACGTGGCCTCAGCAACCCCAATGAGCTCCAGGCAGCCATTGACAGCAACCGGCGGGAGGGCCGGCGCCAGAGCTTTGGGAGCTCCCTCTTTGCCTACTCACCAGGTGGTGCCCACAGCATGCTTTCCTCACCCAAGCTGCCAGTGTCCTCCCTGGGCCTGGCCACCAGCACCAACGGCAGCTCCATCACCCCAGCCCCCAAGATCAAGAAAGGTAAAGGGCCACATGAGCCTAGGGACTGATCCTAGCTCAGGCTGTATGGCCTTGTGGGGTTGGTACCTTTCCCCCTCTCTGGGTAAACAGGTTGATAAACCCCAAAGATGTCATGGAAGAGGGCAGCAAATCTGGCAATGCTGTGCTCATGGCAAACATTATTAAACCACCATCATTTTTCAAACCCCATGCCCACAGCAGGCAAACATTACTGGTCAATCCATTTTTCCCATCCTGAGCCCATGGCAGACATTACTAATTAATCACTGTTTTTCTGATCCACAGGAGGCAGACATTGTTAATTGAGCATGCATTTCTTGTAGCACTGGCCCAGCCTTCTGCCTGTGGCTGACACTGTTCATCACCATAGTTTTTTCCAATACCTTGCCCATGACAGACATTATTAGTTGATAACTATATTCTTTTCCCTTAGAGCTTTAGAATTTTTCTCAACACTCTGACCCAGCAGACACCATTGAGAGTATAGTGTGGGTCTATCAAATTCACCCTTTAACCATGGTAGGTGCCCCTGGGTGGCTCAGTGTCCCTTTCTGACCCCAGTTTCCTTATGAGTGAAGTGGAGACAATTATCCCCTATTTGTAGAGTTGTTGGGGGCCTTCAGTGTATAAAATGCTCAACATGTAACAGGCCCAGGTTTGCAGATGCCTGACAGACAACCCCCCATTCCTAGACCCCACCTGTGGCAGACATCACCAGTCAATCACAGCCTTCTCTCCCCGCTGAGCCTGGAATTCTTCCTAATACAGAGCACCAATAGCACATGTGGCAGTGTGGCCTCGAGCCCGCCAGTTCACATGTCTGGGTTCCCATTTCTCATCTACCATATGGGCTATGACTCCCTACTTCCTGGAAGTGGCCTGAGGATCTGAGGTGAACCCCACCAGGCCCTGAAAAATTAGATCTTGCTAATATTAGTCATTCAATCTTCTGTGGGCCTTGGTGTACCTTCCTGGCTTTGGGGAGTTTTAGGTACACCCGTTAATGGTTATTAAGCATCCACATGGGCCAGGCCTCATGCTGGAGCTGGGGAAGATGGTAGCAGGTAAGATAAAGGGGTCCGACCTAGGGGAGTCATAAGAGAGCCTGGAAACAACAGGCAGCAGGCTACAGTAACGGGAAAGCTGGTTGAGGCATTTGAGTGAGACCAAAAGAAGGAGGGCACTACAAAAACTCTAGGGTAGAGGGCCCCAGTAACTGCAAAGGCTGGAATGGGGATGCAGCATGTAGGGGCAACACCTGGCAACCAGAGATTGACACTGGAGAAAGGGTCAGGGGAGGAAGAGACAGTGGGTCCCAGTGGAACCAGTGGGTGGGAATGACGGGGACATTTGTTTTAAGCACAGAAGAGGTGAATGGTTAGGAGCTGGGTCTGGAGTTGGACTGCCTGGGTTCGAATCCCAGCTCAGCCTCTCTCTAGCTCTGTGGACTTGAGGAAGTTATACATTCTCTTTGAGCCTCAGTTTTCTCATCTGGAGATAAGAGTAGACTTGTTGTTGATGAAATGGTCCTTTGAGATGGTTCATATTTGAGATAGAAGTTCTTTAGACATGTTCTGAGCCCTTATTGTTATGACTAGTGTTATATATAATATAGTATATGCTATTATAGCACCTATGTAATAGTGATGCAAAATACTACTGTAATACTAGTATATAACTAGTAGTGTTATCAGCAGTATTACCAGTATAATGGCATCTACTGTCAGCCTGCTTTAGGAAGGGTTTTATAGCACTTGTGTCTATTCAAAAACCTAGCTACTTCCCAGGCCTGTGGGTGGCTCAGTTGGTTAGAGCCTCATCCTGTACACGAAAAAGTGGGAGTTCAGTTCCCGGTCAGGGCATATACCTGGGTTGCGGGTCTATCCCCAGTTTGGAAGTATACGGAAGGCAACCAATCAATGTTTCTCTCTCACATCAATTTTTCTCTCTCCCTTCCTCTCTGTAAGCATGTCCTAGTGTGAGGATTAAATAAATAAAAATTTTAAAAACCCCAGCTACTTTCCTGGAGAGGGAATGAGCACCCTATCAGTGGAGGTATTCAAGAGAGTGCTCATTTCTGCGTGGGTGGAAGGCTAGGCCAGGCCACTTCCTGTCCCAGCACCAACTGCTCTTCTCTCCTGTCTAGAGGAGGATTCAGCCATCCCCATCACAGTCCCTGGCCGCCTGCCAGTCTCCCTGGCAGGCCACCCTGTGGTGGCAGCCCAGGCAGTAGCAGTGCAAGCGGCAGCAGCCCAGGCAGCCGTGGCGGCACAGGCAGCTGCCCTGGAGCAGCTTCGGGAGAAGCTGGAGTCTGGGGAGCCTCCGGAAAAGAAGATGGCCCTGGTGGCGGATGAGCAGCAACGGCTCATGCAGCGAGCGCTACAGCAGAACTTCCTTGCTATGACAGCCCAGCTGCCCATGAGCATTCGTATCAACAGCCAAGGTATCAATTCAGTACCTAGACCCTCCATGCTTTCTGCATGTGTAACAAAATGAGGGTCTTGGAGCCAACCTATGTAAAAAGTGCCTATAAATCAACAAGAAAAAATGGCAAACAAATCAATAGAAAAAATGCGCAGTTGTGACTAGTAAATTCCTGTTCAACCCTACTGGTGTGGCTCAGTTGGTTAGATGTTTGGTCAGGGGTGCGTATGGAGGAAACCAATTGATGTTTCTCTCCCTCTCCTTTCCTCTCTAAAAATCAATAAAAACATATCCTTGTGTGAAGATTGGAAAAAGAAAAAGAAGAGCTGTTCAACTCCATCTAGATGGGGATCTGCATGTTAACAAGGAGATACCATTTTTCACCCATCAGAGTTTGATAATATCAAATGTTGGTCAGGATGTGGGAGAATGGGTCTTGCTGGTGGGAGTGTAAATAGGTGACAATTTGGCAGTCTTTTAAAAATAGAAAATGTGACTCAGTGATCTACTTGGTATCTACAGCAGAACTAGTGCAAGTGTTCAAGGAAACACAGGTGTCTTCCACTCTCCGAAAGTAGGGAATTCCTATGAAGCCTTTCAAAGTGGTATAATGTGAATTTTCAAAAAGCAGAGGATACCTGTATAGACAAGTTTGCTCATTGCAGTCATTTGCATGATGTTGTAACAGTGAGGCCTTGAAGCGATGTGTGTGTCCATCAGTAAGGAATGAATGAGTCACGTCTGGAAGACTTTGTTAAAAAGAATGACATGATTTGGGTGTGCGACACTGCTTAAGACTTACAATCATGATGAAAGCAAATGTTGGACAAACATATTCTTATTCGATATTTATTATGTCCCGTATGCAGTGGTGGCAGATACAGTACACAGCTTTGTGAAGTTTAAAGTCTAGTGGGGACAACAGACGTGAAGCAGATCATTGCACAGATGGGTTTGTGATTCCAAATGGTGGCTTTTCTTCTTCCCACAGCCTCTGAGAGCCGCCAGGACTCAGCTGCAAACTTGACCAGCACCAATGGCAGCAATAGTATTAGCATGTCAGTGGAGATTAACGGGATTATGTATACAGGTAACACCTTAATAACTTCATTCCCCAGGTTAATTTAGGAGTCCCAGGTAACCCCCAGGTCTGGCCTGCATGAGCCCAGCCATTAGAGTGAACAAAGTTCTTCCTTCCTTTGGAGACTTGAGTATATAATCAATATAGTATAATTAGCACAGTGCTCAGCACATAGTAAGTACTTGACACGGTTCTCAGCACGTAGAAAGTACTTAGTACAGTTCTCAGCATGTAGTAAGTACTTAGCATGGTGCTTAGCACATAGTACGTGCTCAAATATACAGTTGACCCTTGAACAACAAGGGTTTGGGCTGCGTGGATCCACTTATACATGCATTTTTTTCAATAAATACTGAAAATGTATTTTCCTGATGATTTTCTTAATAACATTTTCTTTTCTCTAGCTTACTTTATTGTAAGAATTCAGTATATAATACATATAACATACAAAATATGTGTTCATTGACTTTCTGTTATCAGTAAGGCTTCTGGTCAACAATAGGCTATTAGTGGTTAAGTTTTGGGGCGTCAAAAGTTACATTTGGATATTCAACTGTGCAAGGGGTTACTACCTCTCTAACACCTGTGTTGTTCAAGGGTGAACTGTACAAACGATGTTTCAAAATTCCTTGTAAAAAAATGTAGTCAGGCCAGTTGCTCATTAGGCCACCAGGTGGTGCTGGGGACACAGAACAGCTGGGTTGCTGTACAAAGACACCCCCCCCCACACACACACACACCAGAAAGCAGAGACTAGGATGAGGTGGTAGGTGTCCTAGCGGGTCCCTGGGTAGACTTGGCAAGGGGTCAGTGCTGGGGGGGGCCCCTTGCACCTGTCACATAATCTTTTTTAACTCTCCATGACATGTCTCTCCTCCTGTCCTTGCATTAGGAGTGCTGTTTGCTCAGCCACCAGCCCCCACACCACCCTCAGCTCCCAGCAAAGGCGGTGGTGGCAGCAGCCGGGGAGGAAACAGTGGGACCAGCAGCAGCGTGGGCAGCCAGGCCGGGCCAGCGGGGTTATCTGCACCCCCTACGTCTTCTACCTCAAATAATTCATTGCCTTAACCCAACCACTCCCCACCTGCCACCCCCCACCCCAGGAGCTGGTCAGACTGGGCAGGGTGTTGAAAGGTGGGCCAAGCAGGGCCAGGGTGGTGGAAGATACGGGTGGGGAGGGGAGATATCCACAAAGGAGCCACAGCTAACACCAAAAATAGAAGAAAAATATATATACATATATATAAAGAAACTTTAATAAAACAGGGGAAAACCAAGGAACACTTGAATTACTCAGGTTTCAGACATTCAGAGAAATGAATTGTGAGAATAGCTAAGGAAATCAGGAAAGAGAGCGGCAAATATTTCCCAGGGCTTTCCTGTAGCCCTGATGGACTGATTTGGACTGGTGTCTGGTGTCTGTTTTGGACCAGTTGCAATGTAAGGCCAGATCCTGTTTACCTCATATATCCCTGCACTGTGTGTTTTCATTTTTGTCTGTTTTTTTACTTTTTTTTTTCCTGTTCATCACCCACTCACCCACTCACCACATCCAGCTCCTTGTTTTGAATGAAACCCCTGAGCCAAGATCAGTTGACTTTTTTTCTTATTGCTTTTGGGAACTTTTTATTATTTTATTTTTTTAAAAGAAATAGTGATATTCAAGTTCTATAGGGTTTTTAAGAGGTTTGGGGGGTTTTGTTTTGTAAATATTCTATTTTATTCTTGGGGGAGGAATCAAACCTTAGGAAAAGGATATATATCTCTATATATTTGTGTTCATTCAGGGAAACTGGACTTAAAAAAAGCAAAAAAGAAAAAAAACTAATATCCTTTAAATTTTTCCCATGACTGATTTGGGTTCCTCTCTGCATTTCCTGTGGTACAGTAGGCACCTGGCAAGCACAGGATACTGTATCCCTGGGTTAGAGCCAAAAAAGGTGACAAACTCAGGTGCTGAGGGCTGGGCTGGGGTGGGGGTCCATGCAGGGGCAGGCTGAGGGGGAACAGGGAACGTGAATGCTCAATGCTTTTTCTCACTGTGCCATGCTGTGCTCTCTGTCAGGGATCTGGAAGTCTTAACCAGAAACAAGTGCTGGAAAAAGGGCCAGAGTCTGGGAGGGGGTGTGATGTTATAGCCCCCAGGCTCCTGTCTCAGGGATGAATATGGCCTGGGGACTCTCTTCCTGAAAGGGTTGCTTTTGAAGACTTATTGATATTTGGGGACTGAGGTGAGCTGGGTTTAGCTCTGAATGAGGTTTTGGGGCCATGTCATCTTGAACACTCTACCCCTTCTCATCTCCTTCACTTTGTCCCTTGGTTCTCTCTTGGCCCCTTGCAAGGCCACATCTCCTGCTATAACTTAAGGAACTAAATAGAGGCCCATAAGGAGGCTGCACCATTTCCTCCATGACCCCTTACCCCAGGTTAGAAGGCGGGCATCAGTGGGACAGCTGGAAGGGGAATCTATTTCAATGGCTGGTGATGGTCTTCACCATGAGGTAGCACCCTCTGTCCAAAGGCCCAGGCAGGGTTGGGGACTTTCTTGGCCACCCTGCCCTTGCTAGGTCCCTGGGGACCAGGTGGTGCTGGTTGTGAATGTGCCTCTTACACTTGAGTGCTCTTTCCTTTCACACATTGAGTTTGCCTGGAAGCTCTAATTAGGCCCAGGGAGCCTGGCCTAATGAGGCCAAGATTGGCAGTACCCCACCTGGTAGCCTCCCAGACCCCAGACCCAGTGATCCCTTACTCAGGGTCATCTTGTTGCCTTGGAGACCTTGGAGGGGGGAGCATCCTAATTCCCCCCACATACCCAGTCTGAGTTTGCTTGGGTGTAGTGCTGTGGTGTCTTTGGGGAGAACCCCTTTCTTTGGTCTATCTCAGGGTTGAGGACACCCTCCAACTCCCAGGATGGGGGTGGCTGTGGGCATCTGGGGTTTCCTCTCTGTTTTTCCTTATGGAAGATTCTCCTCCCCAATTCTCACTGCAGCAGCACAATCACTGTGGGAGGAGGATCTTTTTGCCCAAGAGCAGTGAACTGGATGCTCCTCCCCTGACCTGACTCCGTGGAGCCACGTGGGGCCCACATAGGGGTGTCTGCTGCCTGGTTATTTCTACCTCAGGTCTGACTCTTGATGCCAAAATCCCCGCCCAGCTTGCCCTCCTTGACTGGCTCAGGGCTTCAACAGGTACCAGTGCCTGTCCCCTCCCACCTGCACCTTGGGTGTGTCCACCTGAGAGCCTGCCCCTGGGTGCTTTCTTTGGTCGTGTGTGTGTGTGTGTGTGTGTGTGTGTGTGTGTGTGTCCCTCCCTCTCTCTCCCCCTTCCCCCCCCCCATGTCTGCATGTGTCGGGGACCTGGGCATCATGTCTTGTGGGTGATAATGGCCCCCAGATCTAACTCAGGGCATGCCTACTGTTCAGGGTGATTGTAGGGGGCTGGGGTGGGGTGGGGTGTGGGCAGGGAGACAGCCCTGGGAGAGCAGTGGGCAGGTGGAGGAGTGGAAAAGTGAGAGGGAGCTCCAGGCTGGGGCCCAGCTGTCTGCCTTGAGTCCCCATTTACCCTCTGCCACTCTCAGCTCAGGGCAACCTGCGGTAGGTGGGGATTCTGGGATGCAGCTTAGCACCCCCTTATGCAAACTGGGTAGGGACAGGGCAGCCATCTCTGTCAGTGGCTTGCTTGTACACTGTGCATTCTGGAATGGATAGGGCTTAGCTGCACAGAGTGGGCAGGGACCCCCAAACTCAGGGTCATGAGGGGCTTGGGCTTCCCCTGCTCTAGAGATGTTTGTTACAGGCTGCTTCTAGAATCTTCCTTGTGACCCTTAAACTGGCCACACGGCTGTGTAGCTGTTGGGAAAGGGCCAGAGCAGAGGTGTTGGGGCAGCTGAGTTAGTTTTTAATAGTTGTGCATTTGTACAGTCACTTTTTTTGCTTTTATGATTTTTGCCCACTTCTATCATTTTTTTCTTGCCTTTAATTTTGCTTTTGCATTGTTTTCTTGGCAAACACAAATGAATTCAGTCTTTCATTCCTGACATGTGAAATTTCAGTTTCTCTGGGGTTTGTCCAGTGGCGTGGGGACCACGCCTGAACTCAGGTTAAAGAAAAAAACTTTTTTAAAAGTTATAACTACTCTACCTCTGGCCGGGCCTCGCCTGTCAGTCACCCTGGCCGGCGGGGCAGCCGGTAAGGATTTCAGTTCTGCAGAACATTCAGGTATTGGGAGGGTGGGGGTGGCAAAAGACCAAAAAAAGGGGGGGAGGTGTGATTTTGAAATTTAAAAGAACACTGAAAGTTTACATTTTATAACATTATTATGCAGATTGTATTTAAATTTCAGAAATATTTAAGACAATTGTAACCCTGTAAAGCTGATGAGATATTAAAACAAGACAAAACACTTCTGACTTTTAACAGAAAACGTGTCTGGTTATTTCCTGGGCATCATTGCATCCTGTATGGCTCCAGGTAGCAGAAAGCACGGGCTAATGCAGGGGTCCTCCAGTGGAGACTGTGCCCCCAGGGGACACTGGGCGATGTCTGGGGACATCTATGGTTGTCACGACTGAGGGTGCTCCTGTCATCAAATGGGTGAGGCCAGGGATGCTGCTCAACACCCCAGAGAGACCAGGATGGCTCTACCCAAGAGTGACCTGGCCCCTGTATCAGCAGTTAGGTATCAGCAGTTTGGAGAGGGAGACCCTGGCTAAGCCAGGTCTGAGAGGTAGCTCCCTCCCCTTCGGTGTTACCCTCCTGGCCACCCAGCCCCCTAACCTAGGCCTTTAGCTATCCTGAGTTCTGATGCTGGAGTCACTCCTGAGTTATCTGACTCAAGCCCCTAGGGCATGTGGCCTGGCGCCTGCCCCCTCTTTGCTGGCTTCATTTTGGTTCTCTGAGGAAACCACCCAGGGCCTGCCTCTTTCCACCCTGCCTCCCTGAGCCTTCCCACTGTGGTTTGGTTCACATTTTAACATTTTTCTTTCTTTCAGTGTGATTCCAAAGAAACCAGACCAAGGGATGATCAGGCTGTCGGGCTACAGTTGCAAAACCTGGGCTCAGCCCAGTTAGAGGGAAACCCTGGTTCTCAGCCTCCAAATCCAAACCTGACAGAAGGGTGTTGCGTGTAAAAGATTTCCTGGGGTGTCCCTCACATCACCCACATCCAGGGGACATGATGGGTTCAAGGTCAGCACAGCCAGATAGTGAGTGGATAGGCCCAGCCTCCTGCCTCCCCTGGTACTAGTTCCTGGCTGTGGCTGACCTGGGCCAGTGCCTCCTACTTGGGTCAGCCCCTAAAGCTGGTTAGGAGTCTGGAAAAACAACCCCCTCCTGCAGCAGCTGGTTGCTTCCCCATTTTATCCAGCCTTTTCCATTCTTGCCAGAAATGGGTTGGCTGTATCTCCATCTCCATGGGCCTGGGGAACCTGGAGAGGACAGAGGACAACCCACCTGCCTCTCCGAGCCCCCTGCTCCCCAAGGATATAAAGGAAAAGTGTTGTTTTTTTAAAAAAAAGCCCTTTTCCGGCAAACTGGATGGGCCAGTCTAACATCTTTATTCCTCTGCTGAAGAGACCCAGAGAGGGACTGGGGCCCCTGAGGTCACACAGTCCCTGAGGGTACGCAGGGAGGGGTCAGACTCCACCACCTCTCCCCACCTCCCCAGCCCTTAGGCACCTCCCGTCTCCATCTCTGCTTGTTAGGAGGCAGAGAGGCTCCCAGGAGGTGAAACTCAAAACTAGCCCTGATTAGTGGGAGGGAGAGGAAACCAAGGCGGTGGAGGTGAGGGGTGTTGAAAGGATGCCTGAAAAGGCTGATTGCTACTAGAGTCATCCACTATTCCCTACACCATTAATGCCCGCCATGGGGGCTGCTGGGTTTGTTCAAGGTCCCCACCCCCCAGATAGGGTATGAGATGTGGCTGGACTCCCAGAAAGGCAAGGTCTAGTTTGGTTCATCAGTGTGCACCAGTGCCTGCAAACAGGGACTTAGAACCAGAGAGATTGTGCAGGCTTCTGTGCCTCAGTTTCCCCAAGCATGCTTGCTGCTGCCACTTAGCTACCACCAAGGCCTCCTAGCCTTGGATTTGGGAGGCGGCGCCTGCCTGGCACCGAGGAGGTCTGGTGACTGGGTGGTCTGCAGGCCCCCAAAGCGTGGCTTTTGTCTTGCTCTTCTGACACAACTGGTCTGTCCTCATTCCGGGAACTGTGCAGGGGGTGGGGTGACCTCTGACCTGACAGCAGCCTGGCCTACTGTGTCCCCAGGGAAAGAAGGAGGGGAGGGAGAGGCCTGTGAGGGGGCCTGACTGCAATCCAGCAGCCCTGTCCTGGGGCACCGCCTGGGCCCGTTCCAGCCTGAGCCTCCACCATCAGAGCCCCTTATCCCGTTGGCACAACTGGTCTTCTGCCAGACCCACCCATGTCCTGGAATTTGGAAATTTGCAAGCCAGACTTTTCAAGATCAGGACACAGACCCCATAACTCTGAGGAACCCCCACTTTGCATGTGGGGAAACCGGTCCAGAGCTGTGCAGTGACCTGCCCCTGGGTTCAGAAGTGCCAGTTTCAAGCCCGGAGTTGGTGTTTAGAGGAAGGGCCACCTTGGCCCGGCCTGGGTTCTGCAGAGTGCCAGTTTTTTAGAATTCAAAGATTTGGCTTTTGGAAAAACCTAAAAGATTTTTTGTTTTGGTGTTTGAAAAGTGAGTTAGCATTTGAGGTATCTTATTTCTCTTAGTCACACTTGAAAAACATTTGAGAAACCTGGGGGCATCAGCTGGTTTGGGTGGTGGAAATCAGAAACAGCTGGTTCTAGTTCCAGTCTGTCTTTGGACTAGGTGGTCCCTGCCTCAGTTTCTCCATTTAGCAACGCTGGGGGTTGAGACACCTAGCTCTCCTCAACTTACAAAAGTCCTTCCGTTTGGTATGCCCTGCCTCCCCCAAGATAAAGTTAAATCCAGGCACCCCACTGCCCACAAGGCCCTGAATGGCCCAAGAACCCCTCTAGGGTCTGGCCTCAGGGCCTTGGCACTGCCTCTGTCCACCTTTCTCCAAGTTGTTAGTTCTCTACTCAAAGGACACCTCTGGGAAGCCCCTCGGTTCCTTGAAACTGCTCCGCCCTGTGGCCCCAGGGCTGGGAGCGGCCCACAATCCGCCTCCCGGTCGATGGCTCCCGGCTGCCACCTGGCGGCCAGGACTTGGGTTGCGGATCCCGGCGCTCTGGACCCTGTTGCGGGCACCGCGCATCGGGCGCCCCCAAGTGTTGCTTGTGGATACCCCCTCCCAGACAGCGAAGTCCCCTGGACTGCAGATACCGACTTTTACGTGATTTCTCCCTTTTCAAAGGTTGGCAACTAATTCCACATTTTAAAGTAGTTTTTAGACATGGCCGGGACAGCAACTGTCACCTGAAGTTAGGCGCTCTCGACTTGTTTGGCCTGCACCAAGTTCATGAAATAAAAATATGGATTTTGTGGTCCCCCAAGAACTGTGGATCTGCGAGTACGCACTTAATTACAATGTATTAAGTGCTAGCAAGATATGTTGTCAGGTGCGTAGCTTGTATTTTACACCTGTGAGGTCGGTACTTTATTATTTGCGTATTAAAAAAAAAAAAATCCGAGAGCTCCAAACGTAAAAGGACTCGTCAGACTTCCAGGCTCTGAACTACTAACTGCTCACAGAAGACCCTGGGCCTTGATTTCTTCTCCATCTAGTTTTGCAAGAGGCCTCCTATCAAGATCTTCGACCAGGCGTTGCGCCCCTTGAGTTTCAGCCGACCGGGCGGTGGGGCGCCTAACTCACAGGGTAGCCGGCTCTCGGAACCCTGGGCTCGCTCGCGGGAGGGCCAGCCGCCGGGGGCCGGACAACGTGGGCGCCACTCTAGCCCGCGCGGCGAAGTCGCCCGCGTCTTGCCGGTGATGACGCACTTCCGGGGCGGTGGGGGAATAAGATGGCGGCGCCCATGGAGGTAGCAGTGTGTACAGACTCCTCTGCCCAGTTGTGGAGCTGCATCGTGTGGGAATTGCACTCGGGCGCTAACCTGCTGACGTACCGCGGCGGCCAGGCTGGGCCCCGGGGCCTGGCGCTGCTCAATGGCGAGTACCTGCTGGCGGCGCAGCTGGGCAAGAACTACATCAGCGCCTGGGAGCTGCAGCGGAAGGTGCGGTGGCGCGCACCCCGGCTTGGACTTCGCTGGGGGTGCGCGGGGCATCCGAGACTGGTCGACCGGGGCTGCACATGCCCTGGGCCGGTGGGGGCGAGGGAGAGTCTCGGTTAGGGGCTCTGAGCGTGCGTGGGTCGGGGGGTTGCTTATCGAAGGAAGGAAGGAAGCGCGTGGACTTGAGCGAGTGGGGGAGCAGGTGTTGGGGGACTCGCTCAGGCTCGTGCGTACATAGTGCGATGGGGAGGTAGTTGGGCTATAAAGGGAGCTGTGTGAAAAGGGCGCGAAGTTTATTTTATTTTTTAAACTACGATTTATCGACTGGCTCTGCGGTGGTTTTTTTTTTTTTAATTGATTATAGCGGTAGAGAGAGAGAAACATCGATTTGTTGTTCCACCATGCATTCAGGAGAGCGAAATTTAAAGGGAGAGTTTGGGGTTTCATGGGTCTCCTACCCCTTGAAAGGGTAACCCAGAGAGACTTTTTATTCTCCCAAAAAAGACTGTCCTTCCTCATCAGAGCCCATGGTATCTCCTCTTAGGCAAACCCAAAATGCTGCTCCTTCAGCTACTCACTTCCTTTTTTGCCAGCTGACATCTCTTGGGGGCAAGCTCTGTGCTCTGGTTTTGCCTCCTGTAGGCCACACAGAATTTACATTTTCCCTTTTTATAGATTTGGAAACTGAGGCTCAGGGTCATAGGTGGGACCTTAGGGAGGCAGGATTGGGGAATGAGACTACTAGCCTTTGGGCTCTCCAGTCCCAATGCCCTCCTGGACTCTCTGTGCCTCTCCCACCTCCACCCCATGCCCATAGGAGCACCATCTGTTCTTATCTAAGGATTCGCCATTCTCTACCTCCAGCCTATAAAGCCTGGGCTGGAGCAAACATTTCTTTTTTTTTAATCCTCATCTGAGGATATTTTTTCATTGCTTTTCAGAGAGTGAAAGAGGGAAAAAGGGAGAGAGAAGCATTCATGTGAGAGAGAGACATCGCTTGGTTGCCTCTGACACACACCCTGATCTGGGCTGGGGATCGAGCCTGCAACCGAGGTACATGTCCTTAGCCAGAATCAGACCCGGGATCCTTAGGTCCGTGGGCTGACACTCTAACCACTGAGCAGACTGGCTAGGGCTGGAACAAACATTTCTTTACTGAACTGTGAATTTACTCAAACCACCCCTATCACCATTCTTTCTGGGTTTAGATTTACCAGCTGCCTGGGTGCCCCCACCCACTGTCCTCACTGCCCCCTGGCTCCCAAGTTCTGCATGAAGCTCAAAAGCTTCTTATGTTCCTCTAGGATCAGCTCCAGCAGAAGATCATGTGCCCCGGGCCTGTCACCTGTCTGACCACATCACCCGACGGCCTCTACATTTTGGCAGGGATTGCAGAGAGCATATACCTATGGGAAGTGAGTGTCAGAGCCAGAGTCATGAGGCTTGGCCTGTGGATCATGGAGTTAGACCTCCAACAGTGTTATCACCAACAGTCGGTTGTTTGAGAGGAGACCTGTCTCACCACCTGTGCAGACAGTGTAGGATTTGGGGCCAGAGGTGTGTGTAACCACCTGTGCCCTGCCTGACCTTAACCTTGACCTGCAAAACAGAAGTCTGCCAAGGGAACTGAGTTCTCTGAAAGATGGTAGAAGCTTCATTATCTCATCTTGGGATTTTAAACCTTAGTCCTGATTCTGAAACAAGGAAGCAGTTGTTCATGCACAGGGAGAGAAATGGAGGCAGGGAGGGGCTCCTCACAGATTCCCCGTCATGGTAAAAATCTTTGCCCTGATTACTGTTAGCCTGGTGCAGGGGATGTGGTAGAAACCAGTGGCCCTTGGCCTGATGGGGACATCTTAGGAGTTTCTTCCCTTCTTGATGGGGGACAGTCCTGGGCTTTGGGGTTGCTGTCTGGCCCTGGTACCCCATTCTCTTGGAGAATTCCTGACTAGTGTGAGCTATGACCACAAGGGGCGCCCCACACAGCCAACGGAGGCAGGAGCCCAGGCTGATTCCCACAGCTGTCGCTGTTGACCTTTCCCTCTTGCTCTTTGAGGAGGGATGGGGCTGGAAATCCTTAGAGTGGGGCTGCAAGGTGAACAAGTGTGTGTCCAAGTTTCCTTCTTATGAAGACACCTGTTTAGATCTGGAACCACTCTGCTCTACTGTGATCTCACCTGAACTGATTATACCTGCAAAGCCCCTGTTTAAGGACACAGGTTCCAGGGATTATTAGAACATGAACATACTTATTTGGAAGACAGTTTAACCCACAACATCATCGTGTTCCCCTCCCCCTGTGCCACAGCCCTTTCCAGGTGTTGTATGATGGGTTCACCTCTCCCTTCCACTAGGCACCTCCCTCTTCAGCAGACCGATCTGCTCAGCTTTCTGCTGGTTTGGGTCTCCCCTCCCCCAGGTTTCACAGCAAGAGGCACCCCCACTCCTGCTAAACCAAGTGGCAAGGCTACATTTGAAGTCCCTCACAGCTAGCCTGGAAGACTATGACTTCCTGCTGTGACAGTCAGCATGAGGAGGCACCTGCTGCTGGTCCTGGATCCAGCTGCTCCTAAAAGGACCAGCTCTCTCACCAGTCTTGACACTCTCATCCATGCCTTCCCTGGGTGCTGTAGTCACACCATCCTTCTCCCTGTGCATGAGCAGACCCTCCCTTCCGTGCATCCCAGTGACCTGGCAGCTGGGGGGACATGCTGTACCCCATTTCCTGTCCTGACCTGCATGTACCCCACCCTCACTAGGTCTCCACAGGGAACCTCCTGGTCATCCTGAGCCGCCACTACCAGGACATCTCCTGCCTGCAGTTCACAGGGGACAGCAGCCACTTCCTCTCGGGTGGCAAGGACTGCCTGGTGCTGGTGTGGAGCCTATGCAGGTAGTACCCTCACCTCGGGCCTTCACCTAGTTGGTAGCCTCCAGCCAGATGAGGCCTCAGCACAGAGGGCAGGGAGCCTGCTCTTCAGAAGGCCATGCCAAAGTCCTGGGACAGGAAGGGGCTGGATCTGGGGCCTACAAGTCAGGTGGGCTGTTGTGAGGCAAACAAAGGTGATTGGTTTGTCCAGGGATCATTTGGAACCATCTGAGAATTTTTTGTCAGTGGGATGGGCCCAGTGGCTACGTGGAAGTCGGTGGGGGCATTAGGGTGCAGCCCTCCCCCTGAATCCATTTCTTTTGCAGTGTGCTACAGGTAGACTCCTCCAGGACTGCGGCCCCTCGGCACGTCTGGTCCCGCCACACCCTTCCCATTACAGACCTGCACTGTGGTTTTGGGGGGCCCCTGGCCCGAGTGGCTACAGCCTCACTGGACCAGACAGTGAAGGTAAGACCAACCCCCACCCCCATTGGATCTTTGAGCTGGGCCAGGGTGGCTGGTGGGTTCTTGGCTGATGTGAGTCAGTGAATCACCTGCTCTCCCCAGGCTGGCAGCTCCAAACAGCTCTTAATCCCCCAATGCTTCCCACCTCCAGGATATCCAAGGGGCAGATGATCTAGGCCTATGTTGGCTCTGAAATTCTCACTTGGCCACCTGTGCCTGGTGGCTCGCTGGCCACGCCTCAGGGATTTGAGGGCATACAGCCCTTGGGTCTTTGTCTTGGGCTAGGGGTGGGCAGAATCTAGGCCTCACAGCTAAAATGGGGTGACAAGGGGTCCTGAGCATGAGAACCTAGCCCTGTTTTAGGGAGTGCCCCAGCCCCAGGACCTCCTTGAGTGACAGCTCCCATCTGAGGTTCTGTGGGGTGCAGGATCTCCCAGTCAGGGCTGCCCAGCTTTCAGACCACTCCTATACCACTGGGACCCCAGTGTCTGTGGAGCCCCCATCCCATGCCCTGTCTGCCCCCAGCTGTGGGAGATCTCCTCAGGCGAGCTGCTGCTCTCTGTGCTCTTTGATGTGGGTGTTATGGCTGTGACGATGGACCTAGCTGAGCATCACATGTTCTGTGGTGGCAGTGAGGGCTCCATCTTCCAGGTCGACCTCTGCACCTGGGTGAGTGGTGGGTGCCTGGGCCCGTGGTTGGAGGCTTATGGGACAGTGGGACACCCAGGGTCCATCCTCCAAAGGCTCTGGGACTGTCCATCCCCCTCGCACCCCCACATCCAGGTCCTTGAGCCAAGTGGGCTCTGCCCCTGCCCATCACCCCCAGTGCCCTGGGGCCCCCAGGGCTGAGGCACAAATGTGTCCCTCTGCTCACCGGACCCTCGGCCTCTGCAGCCTGGACAGAGAGAGAAGAACTTCCAACCAGAACAGGACAGCGGGAAGGTGTTCAAAGGCCACAGGTGTGGGGACCAGACTGGTAGCTGGGGAGGGTCCCTGTTCTCTTGTTCCTGGGGTCTGGGGGTCATTTGGGCCACCCTTTCTCAGACCTTTGTCCCCAGGAACCAGGTGACCTGCCTGTCAGTTTCCACTGATGGCAGTGTGTTGCTCTCCGGCTCACATGACGAGACGGTGCGCCTTTGGGACATCCAGAGCAAGCAGTGCATCAGGACGGTGACCCTCAAAGGTGGGGCTGGGAGCAGAAGATCAAGAGGTTGTAAGCTATGTGGCTTTGCCCATTTGTCTACACCCCAGCCACTTAGCCAGGTGCTAGGAGGTAGGACTAGCGAGAGGAAAGTAGATGGGCCACTCCTGGATAGGTGGGTGGGTTTGAGGAGTGGAGGGTATGGGAACTGTGGCCCAGGCCTGGCCGAGGCAGCTCCTGACTGGCCACCTGCCTTGTCACAGGCCCGGTGACCAACGCCTTCATTATGCTGGCGCCGGTCAGCATGCTGAGCTCCGACTTCAGGCCCAGCCTCCCTCTGCCACACTTCAACAAACATCTTCTGGGTGCTGAGCATGGGGATGAGCAGCACCGAGGGGGCCTTACTCTGCGCCTGGGCCTCCACCAGCAGGTACTTGCTACAGCAGGTGCCCTGTCCTCGCACCTCTAGAGGACCCGCCCCAGCTCAATCTCTACAGCATGGCTCTGTGTTCCCTGCTTGTCTGGGCCCTGGCTGGGGTCCCTGTGAGGGCCCTCCACATATGCCCTCAGTGAGGAGACCCCTCTGACTGCATGGCTGAGCCCAGCCTGGTGTTCAGCACCTGACCTCAGAAAGCACCTTCCACAGTAGAAGCAGACTACGCACCAGGGTGCATTCTCAAATAAGCAAACAAGTGTGACCAAAGGCACTGTGTCCAGTGCCTTCTCCAGCAGGGCAGTAGGCAGGGCTTGCTTCCCTGGTATCCACCAGGGACTCCTTTCCAGAGATCACCCACCTGCCTGTGTTTGGCGGGGCCTGGCATTGCCACTCTGGCTATGCTCTCCACCTCTGCTCACTCTTTCCTTGCCCTGGAATCAGGAGCCCCACGAGTGTCCCCTCACTTAGACATGATGGATGACAGAATCAAGTGCCCGTCTGCCAGCCAAGGGCAGCATGTCTAGACTGTGTCTAGCAGGAAGTGGACAGGTTCTGCCCATGAGCTAGCCGATCCTTTTCTGGAGCCTTCTTGACCCCGGTTTCTTCATGTCTCCCAAAACTTGGCTCCAATCCCATAGCTATGGTGTGGCCTTGAATGTCCCTATCCCCTGGGTCTTGTTGGGCACAGTCCTACAGCAGGAAGCAGATTTGAGGAAGCTGATCACGATCATGTTGCTTCCTGCTGGGTGGGGTTGAAGGTGTAGCCTCCCACAGAGACATCATACCCAGCGACCCCTTGGAACCTGTCTCCATCTGTGAGCAGGTGTCAGGATGGCACCTCCCTCACCATTTGGATGATGTGAGCAGCATGGTGAGCTCAGAGGTCACTGAGGCAGCCCTTTTTTTGCAGGGCTCAGAGCCCAGCTACCTGGAGCGAGCAGAGCAGCTGCACATGGTGATGTGTAGCACGATGGAAAAGGTGGGTGGGGCCTTGGAGAAGGGTGAGGCTGGGGTGGAGTAGAATGGGATTTTCTTCTTTTTAATATATTTTTATTTCAGAGAGAGAGAGAGAGACATCAGTGATGAGAGAGTGTCATTGATTGGCTGCCTCCTACACGCACCTCCCCCACCCCCCACTAAGGATCAAGCTGGCAACCTGGGCATGTGCCCGTGCCCTAAGCAGGAATCGAGCTGCGATTTCCTGGGTCATAGATCAATGCTCAACTGCTGAGCCACACTGTCTGGTCTGGAGTGGGACTTAATTAGGGAGGAGATTCGCCCCCCTCTGTGGGATTTCAGAGGTCCTTCTGCCCTGAGCACTCCCTCCCCCGCCCTAACTCCTTCCTAGAATGTGTTGGGTGGCCAGGACCAGCTGCGGATCCGAATCACAGAGTTGGAAGATGAGGTGCAGAACTTGCGCAAGATCAATCGAGACCTGTTTGACTTCTCTACCCGCATCATCACCCGGCCTGCCAAGTGAGTGCAGGGACCCAGACCCCTACCCATGGACAGACTGACAGCTGCACACCTGGGGGCCACTGGGCCAAAGCCCTCAGACCAGCAGCAGTGCTACAAGCTCACCTTTCCCTGGTTCCATGTTTGCATTGTGACCTGCACGAGGGGTTGTTTTGTCTTTGTTGATCCACTGGTGTCTGTTGTGTCCAGTTGGTGCTATTTTGTTTTTAACAAAAGACCTAAAAGCCTGTCCTCTTCAGTCCTCTGTGTGTGCTGAGGGTTATCCGAGGTCCCAGGCTGAGCTTCAGGACCCTTGAGACAGGCTGTCAGGTCTGACTTAAAAGTCATGTTGAGAGAAACTGGTTCTTAGACTTTTCAGACACTCATCTGTAACCCTAGTGCCTTTGCATAACTTTGAAGGACAGGCCATCCTCTACGGGAGGGTTTGGGCTGTGGAGGGGCAGCCTCAGGCTGAAGTCACCAGGGGTGACTGTGATTCAGGGAGACACCAGTGGGGTTACACTGGTCACATCTTGTTGGATGCCAAGGTTCCCCTCAGTCTTGGTCAAGGCAAGGGCTCTGGGGTAACAGCCAGTTCTGGGCCAGGATCCCTTGGAGAGACACATGCCCAGGGCCACTTGACCAGAACATTCTTGTCAGTGTCAAGGGCTTGAGGCAGGCCAGGTACCTCCACTGCCCTGGGGACACCGCCAGTCCATTCAGCACCTGGAGGCCAGCCCAGAAGCGTGGGCCCCAAAGCTGCCATCAGAACCTTCCAGAAAGTTACTCCCCACTGACAGTCCTGCTTAATGATCCAGAAAACTCAGTGATTTATCAGGTGCCATTGTAACTGCAGCTGCAAGCCAGCAGCCAGCACTGAGTTCATGCTTTTAGGGTAATTGGAGTTCCCCATCCCCAGGACTCTGTGTCCTTATAAGTGCGTGGCTCAGTCATACACTGCATCAGGATGCCCTGGGGATGGGACTGGGCCCCCCCTCTATCCATCCCTATGGCCCTTGCCTTCCCCCTCCCCTGTCCCAGACAGGATGATACTTGGGGCTGTCCTGTTTGTGCTAGGTAAGGGGTCCAACTGGTTGGTAAAGGCTACATCATGACCCCCCCCACACACACACACAGTGGGGTCTGTAGCAGCTGGTCAGCAAAGTTGGGGGTGTGGAACTTGGTGTGCAGAGGTTCCAGGAGATGGAGGGGGGACTTCAAGATGGGTTCAGGCTTCCCAAGGGTACCTCATCTGCCAGGGCCCAAGACCCTCTGGGCCATGATCCTGGTGTGGGCACCTCTGCCTGGCCACTTGAACCGCCAGCCCTCCACTCTGCTGTTGGTTTGGTAGGTCACTGAGCCTGGTACTGCTGCCCATGTCTGCATCAGAGCTGGCAGGTTGAAGAGATGGGCTCACAATCCCCGACTGTCTGGCAGCCTCCCCTGGACCTGGGTTTTTCCCTGGGGGTGGGGGAGGGAAGGAAACCAGGCTGTTCCCACTGTCCCTCATCCTGCACATATTTCCAGGGCCAAGGGCCCCCTAAAACCACCCTGAACCTTCAATTGCTGTACCAGCCTGGGCAGAGAAGGTGCGGGGTCCCTACCTCCTGGGGCTATGCCTATGTTGTGACTCGGGCCCAAGGGGCTGTGGTACCGGCCTACGCCACAGCTTCTGACACCCTAGACGGGGAGCATCAATATGCAAACGGCCTACATAACAACTCTGTCCAGTGTAGTCCTGGAAGGTTGCCCATCCTCTGGAGGCTGCCACAAGAGGGCTTAGAGGAGGTTGGCCAGACCACCATGCACCTTGCAGACAACATAGGCAGGTGGCGAGGGCAGAGCTGACCTCTTAACCATCCAGCCTGAAATCATTGCATGGTAAACATTTCTTAGTACAATTTGACCCCAAATCCTAGGCCGTCGTTACAAGAGGGGCATGCTGACAGCACCAGAATTCACTGGTGACTACTCTGTGATGGTAGAGTTTATATAAACCACAGTGAGATGCCATCTCACACTTTCCAGGAACACTTTAAAAAAATAGTGTCTAGCCTGGGTGACGTGGATCAGCGGGTGAGCATCGAACTATAATCCCGGGGATCATGGTTCAATTCCCAGTCAAGGCACATGCCCGGGTTTTGGGTTCCATACACAGTAGGGGGCATGCAGGAGGCAGCCTATCAATGACTCATTGATGTTCTTATATGCCTCTCCCTTCCTCTCTTTGAAATGAATAAAGATATATTTTTTATATTTAACTAAAAGTGTCCAGCTGTGTCTGATGCAGCCATGAAGAGGCAGTTGGAGTAACGGATTGGGATAGGTCAGATGAGGGGAAAGGTGGGAGGAACATGAGGATTGTTAGTGTTATGTTGATGGTTAGGGTTAGGGATATGGTTAGGCTGAGGACTAGACCTAGGGTTAGGTTGAGGGTTAGGGTTAGAAATATCGTTATGGTTAGGATTAAACCTAGGGTTAGGGATAGGGTTAGGGAGATGGTTAGTGTTAGGATTTGACCTGCGGTTAGGGTTAGGGTTAGGGTTAGGGTTAGGGTAGGGTTAGGGTTAGGATTCGACCTAGCGTTAGGGTTATATTGAGAGCTAGGGTTAGACAGATGGTTAGGGTTAGGATTTGACCTAGGGTTAGGGTTATGTTGAGGGCAGGGGTTAGACAGACGGTTAGGGTAACGATTCGAACTAGGGTTAGGGTTATGTTGAGGGCTAGGGTTCGAGAGACGGTTAGGGGACGATTGAACCTAGGGTTAGGGTTATGTTCATTGCTAGGGTTAGAGAGACAGTTACAGTTAGGATTCGACCTAGGGTTAGGGTTATGTTGAAGGATTGGGTTATAGAGATGGTTAGGGTTAGGATAAGACGTAGAATTAGGGTTATGTTGAGGGCTATGGTTAGAGAGATGGTAAGGGTTAGGAGTCTACCTAGGGTCGGGGTTATGTTGAGGGCTAGGGTTAGAGAGATGGTTAGGGTTAGGATTTGACCTAGGGTTAGGGTTATGTTGAGGGCTAGGGTTAGAGAGATGGTTAGGGTTAGGATTGGACCTAGGGTTAGGGTTATGTTGAGGACTAGGGTTAGAGAGATGGTTAGGGTTAGGATTGGAACTAGGGTTAGGGTTATGTTGAGGGCTAGGGTTCGAGAGACGGTTAGGGGACGATTGAACCTAGGGTTAGGGTTATGTTCATTGCTAGGGTTAGAGAGACAGTTACAGTTAGGATTCGACCTAGGGTTAGGGTTATGTTGAAGGATTGGGTTATAGAGATGGTTAGGGTTAGGATAAGACGTAGAATTAGGGTTATGTTGAGGGCTATGGTTAGAGAGATGGTAAGGGTTAGGAGTCTACCTAGGGTCGGGGTTATGTTGAGGGCTAGGGTTAGAGAGATGGTTAGGGTTAGGATTCTACCTAGGGTTAGCGTTATGTTGAGGGCTATGGTTAGAGAGATGGTTAGGGTTAGGATTCGACCTAGCGTTAGGATTATGTTGAGGGCTAGGGTANTGAGGGCTAGGGTTAGAGAGATGGTTAGGGTTAGGATTCTACCTAGGGTTAGCGTTATGTTGAGGGCTATGGTTAGAGAGATGGTTTGGGTTAGGATTCTACCTAGGGTTAGGGTTATGTTGAGGGCAGGGGTTAGAGGGACAATTATGGGAAGGATTCGAACTAGGGATAGGGTTATGTTGAGGTCTAGGGTTCGAGAGACGGTAAGGAGAAGATTAAACATGGTGTTAGGCTTATGTTCATTGCTACGGTTAGAGAGACATTTACGGTTAGGATTTGACCTAGGGTTAGGGCTATGTTGAAGGATTGGGTTAGAGAGATGGTTAGGGTTACGCGAAGACGGAGGATTAGGGTTTTGTTGAGGGCTAAGATTAGACAGATGGTTAGGGTTATGTTGAGGGCTAGGGTTAGAGAGATGGTTAGGGTTACGAGAAGACGGAGGATTAGGGTTTTGTTGAGGGCTAAGATTAGACAGATGGTTAGGGTTATGTTGAGGGCTAGGGTTAGAGAGATGGTTAGAGTTAAGATAACACCTAGGCTTAAGGTTAGTTTGAGGGCAGGGGTTAGAGATATGGTTAGGGTTAGGATTAGACCTAGGGATCGGGTTATGTTGAGGGCTAGGGTTACAGAGATGGTTAGTGTTAGGATTGGACCAGAGTTAGGGTTATGTTGAAATCTAGGATTAGACAGATGTTTAGGGTTAGGATTCGACCTAGGGTTAGGGTTATGTTGAGGGATACGGTTAGAGCGATGCTTACGGTTAGGATTTGAACAAGGGTTAGGATTATGTGGAGGGCTAGGGTTAGAGAAACGGTTAGGGTTAGGATTGGACCTAGGGTTAGGGTTATGTTGAGGGCTAGGGTTAGAGTGATGGTTAGGTTAGGTTTGGATCTAGGGTTAGGGTTATGTTGAGGGCTAGGGTTAGAGGGACGGTTAGGGTTACGATTGGACCTAGGCTTAGGGTTATGTTGAGGGATAGGGTTAGACTGACGGTTAGGGTGAGGATTGGACCTAGGGTTAGGGTTACGTTGAAGGCTAGGGTTAGGTAGACGATTAGGGTTAGGACTGGACCTAGGGTTAGGGTTATGTTGAGGGCTAGGGTTAGAGAGACGGTTAGGGTTAGGATTGGACCTAGGGTTAGGGTTATGTAGAGGGCTAGGGTTAGAGAGACGATTAGGGTTAGGATTGGACCTAGGGTTAGGGTTATGTAGAGGGCTAGAGTTAGGCAGATGGTTAGTGTGAGGATTGGACCTAGGGTTAGGGTTATGTTGAGGACTAGGGTTAGAGAGATGGTTAGGGTTAGGATTG